AATCACAGCCGCCCATTGCTACTCAGGCTAATTCTTGCTCATTAGTCCATGCAGCACAGAGAGGATGGGGGACTCATGTTTAGCACTAAAACATTAAAAACTTTAATGCTGAATTGAAGAACAGCACCAGGGGACTCCAGACAGACGTTATAACCACTTCAATGAGATGAAGCAGTTATGGTGCCTACAATGTTCTTTTAATAATAAATTGTGCTTGTTTAGACACTTGACATTGAAAGTACTTCGGTTCAATATGTCCTTCTCAAATCAATACTATGTACACCTTTCAAAAATATAATAGACCTTACAGTTTGGGTATCTGATGTGACCCTGTAACTTTCAGCTTCCTGTGGATTGTAATACATGCATGGACTGCGTATATTCTCGCTAATCTCCTACTCAGTTCTCTACTCTTAGGACCTGCTACTCTACTCACCAACCTGGCATCTATCCTTAGCATCTTCCTGCTTTCTGCAATGGTCTTTATAACCAGATTAACACATGCTATTTCCCAAGTTTATCAATAGGTCTCTATCCTGAATATGATCAAGATTGTTCCAAACTAAGCTGTTTGTCTCATCCTAGTCTGTCTGCATCTGTCTTAACCTGAATTTACCCAGATTCTCTACTGATCTTACTATCATCTTATCCTTTACTTCCCCACATACTAATGCTTGCTACTTACATGACTTACCTGAGTACCCTAATTCTTCTGTTCCAGTTCAGTATTCCCATCTTTACCTGCAATCAAACACTAATTATAGGAACCTAACGATGCCCAATCCGGCTGTGCCATATCAATAAGTGTGCAAACCATCAACAGAGTCACAGTAGCCGTCACATTTCAGAGAATCAATGAGCAGATAAAAGTGGTTACAAAAGTAAAGGCTGATTCTGTACAGAAGAATGTGTAACAAGACCGACCATTTCCTTTGATTTAGTTGGGCTAAGACTAACAGTTGCATTAATGATTAAAAAAAGAAAACAAAATTCCCTGTGTAAACTATTTAACACGACTTTAATAGCAGACTAAAATAGACAACATCATTAAGAAATACTAGATACAAGATAGATATATCAACGAGAACCATTGTTTTGTCAATCACCATGGGGAATAGATGATTTAAAGTCTGATCCATGCACAAAGTACAGGGTGTACACAGGGATGTGTCTACCACGAGGCAAACAAGGCATTTGCCTTGGGCGGCAATTTCCGAGGTTTTCTTTGTTTTATGGGAGACCAAGAGCTGGCCGGCTGGCCACCTTTGGGCTCCCCCAGGCGGGCGGCAAGGGAGCACTTTCCCCTGAGCTCTGTGCTCAGCTCCCTCAAGCAACCCGCAGTAATGCAGGCATCACTATGTGGCGCGCGAGGATGGTGAGCAGAGAGAGCTCAGGGGAAAGTGCTCCTTCGCCGCACGCCTGCACATCCGGCTGCCTCCCTGCCCAGCAGCCCCACTGGACCCCAGATGAAAAATCTACCCAGCTATCCCAAAAGTAGGGAGGCTGGGTGGATTTCAATTTAAAAAAAAGTAATAATTGTGAGTGGAGGAATGTGTGTGTGTGTCAGTGAATGTGAGTGAGTGAGTGTCTGTTAGTGAGTGTGTGTCAGTGAATGTGAGCGTGTGTGTCAGTGAATTTGAGTGAGTGTGTGTGCGTCAGTGAATTTGAGTGAGTGTGTGTGTCTGTCAATGAGTGTGTGAGTGTTGGTCAGTCAGTGTGTATGTGTCGGTCAGTCAGTGTGTATGTGTCAGTCAGTCAGTGTGTCTGTGTCATTTAGTGAGTGCATGCGTCTGTCAGTTAGTGCATGCGTCTGTGAGTGTGAGTCTGTCAGTGTGTGTCCGAGTAATAGTGTATGTCTGTCTATCAGTGTGTCAAATCAGTGAGTGTGTGTATGTCATTGTCAGTGTATATGAAAGTGTGTGTCTGTCAATGAGTGTATGCATCTATCAGTGAGTGTGTGCGTCTGTCAGTGAGTGTGCGTCTGTCAGTCAAAGAGCAGCCTTGACAGGAAGGGGTGGGGGAAATTTAAATTAGGGGGGGTGCCTGAGCACCGTCCTGCCTAGGGCAGCACAAATCCTAAATACACCACTGGGCGTACAAAACACAATGAGTAGCAGGAACTGGAGAAGTCCGAAAAGAGAATGTGTCACCAACTAAACCAGTCCTTCTACATTCATAATAAAATGCAATAGGTAAAAAAAAATTTATAAACAGTGCGATAATACGTTGTTTTGTTTATTAATACTAATAACTTATTAGTAATTGATTAATGACTGATAATTTTCTTAATTTAAATCATGAGCACTCACCATACTGCCTCTTATTACCAACACGGAGTCTCTGATTTACCCTATTCGATCACTAAATTGAATCACAATTGTTTTTTTCAGTTTTCTGGTTGAAAGAAGCAAACAAATGTCAGGAGAACAATGTATTATAGATCATAACAAACTGCTATAAAGCTGAAATAAATTGGATGGATTTTGTTCTGCGGAGACCACGAAATGCAATGTCAGCTTTATAATAAGTCTACAAAAGATTTCCTAATCATTTCTTTCCAAAATAACTTTTCTCACTATTATTGTTGTTTATCTAAATCTTAGCTAACCACTATGCTCTCGACGTATCTTCCACCAGGAATAGGTTACAGCTGTGCATGGTCTCCTTGTGTTCATGTTGTGGTTGATGATATCATTGGATGATCTCATTTCCGCACACTAGTGACACGTTGACTTGCTCTTTAGAACATGCGATCGAGAGATAGCTTGTAGATCTTTGTAAGATACAGAGATTGCTTTATTACTGGTGCAACAATTGACATGGCTTCTGAATGAAATACACTAATTTAATTTAAGAGGTTGGAACACCAACATCACCATCACACATTTTGTAAGAGACTCAGGTGGTCAAACTTGATGTCATCCTAAATTATAAAAAAAAAGATCAACTGTGTGGACTCTTAGCCAGATGTTCACCAAATGTCAACTAGGCATGTACATGGGAAAATGTTTTGGTTCGGTTCGGCATTCCGAAATTCGGGACTTCGGCAATTCGGCACTTTGGCAATTCGGCACTTCGACGCTTCGGATCTTCAGCAACTTGGGCACTTCGGAACTTCGCCACTTCTGAATTTCGGTAACTTCGGCACCGCGAGTAGGGGCATGTCTAGTAAACAGTGGCTGCTCACTGTTTAAAAAAAAAAAAAAAAAATCGTACCCCCTCCCGAGCCCTCACTCCTGAACGGCGGGTGGGGGCCCTTAAATAAAATAATGGGGGGGACCTATTGTCCTCCCCCTAGGCCTCCACTCCTGAGCGGTGGGTGGGGGCCCTAAGTACTAATTAGGGGGGGCTAATGTCCTCCCCCCTGGCCCCCACTCCTGAGCAGTAGGTGGGGGCCCTAAGTACTAATTGGGGGGGCTAATGTCCTGCCCCCTAGCCCCCACTCCTAAGTGGTGGGTTGGGGCCCTAAATACTAATTAGGGGGGACCTAATGTCCTCCCCCCTGAGCGGTGGGTGGGGGCCCTAAATAAAAAATGAACCCCCTCTCCCCCGGGTGACTAGGGGTCCCCAAATCATTAGTCACCTCCCTCCCCCAAAAAATTAACCCCTACCTAACCCCCTCACCCTAAAAATAATGAGGGGGGACCATTTAACTAAGTACCTGAAAAAAAATAAAATAAAACTTACCATTTGATGTTTTCTTCCTTCTAAAATCTTATTTTTTCAGCCCCCAAAAAAGCCAAATAAAAAGCCATAATAACCGACGCACTTAAAAAAAAAAAAAAAAAAGCGAGCGCAAATTTTTTTTATCCATCTTCACCCGGCGAGGGCTCTGCACAGACTGAGCTCTGCAGGGTGGGAGAAGGCTTATAAATCCTTGCCCTGCCCTGCAATTAGGCTCAGAGCACTCTGATTGGTGGGTTTAAGCCATCCAATCAGAGTGCTCTGACAGGTAAATGAAGAGACTTACAGGTAAGTCTCTACATTTACCTGTCACAGCACTCTGATTGGTTGGTTTGAAATCTACCAATCAGAGGGCTCTGTGCCATTTTACACAGCGTGGGAAAGTTCTTTGGAATTTCTCCACGCTGTGTAATTTGACTCATAACTCTCTGATTGGTTACTTAATCCACCAATCAGAGAGTTAATTTAGGTCTTTCAGCCTTTTACTAGATAGCTCCCTAATATCATGGGAATTAGGGAGTTATGTACTTATTAATTTCTGTCATTACATTGACTGGCCAAGTAACTTACATTTTATATGAATGTGTGTTACTTGATTCTTGTAAGTGTTGCAAATGCTTACAGCTGAATCCTGGCTATGTTTGTATACTTTTTATTTAAAATTGTATACAATGTAACATTCTTCTTCTTCCACTGGGTAAGTATATTAGTACTTAGGCAATACTGTGCTTCGGAACTTTGGCAATTCGGCAACTTCAGAACTTCGGCACTTCAGCACTTCTGAAATTCGGCACTTCGGCAATTTGGCACTTCGGCTATTCGGACATTCAGTACCTGAAATTCGTCTGAATTCATATTCGGCCCGAAACGAATTGCACATGTCTAATGTCAACCAGAGTTTGACTATGATAAACATTTTCAAGCTCCTCAAATAGATACTAAGTAGCTGCAGAGTTAAAACCAAGATTCACCTATATCTTTTTAAAATTTTCAACGTAAATAGATGCATAACAGATTGGCAAGCAACTCATCCACCATTCAACCAACAACTGAACATCTGCCCTACATCTGTCCAAATTGATAAATATATAGAATACACCTAAACAGAAGACAGAGAAAACTCATAGGGAAACACTATTTAGCAATGAATGGCCCCTAATATTTGAAATGCACTCACAAGCTCAATATGTCATTCAGGCACATCAATATGGCTTTAAATCTTCTGAGAGTAATCGTCATTCAGATATCCATATCCACGGAGGCATGTAAAGATATATAAACTGACATAGTAGAGGACTGCTGCAAACTGCAATTAACACGCTTTTATTTATAAACACTTACAAGAAGTCGGTAGTTAAAAGCCCATCAAACAATCTCTGTGTTCCTCCTTCCAGAGTGATATCCCTCCCATTTCCCTTTAGGTCCATTCAGCCAATCCTCTGTATCTCTATCAGCTGTCCTCACTCGTTCTTGATCCTGTTTCCTTATTTGGACATCCGTCATCCTTCTGCGCAACGCACATGTGTTCCACCAGTAGTGCGCGCCAACGGACGTCCTCAACTTGTGGCCGGAACGCAAATGCATTCCACTTCGTTCGTTCCACTTGACAGTCCCCTCAGATGTTACATAAATAAATGGGAGAAGATACAATTAGATAGAGCAACCAGGATTTACTCGTCTTACAGTTATAGCCAGAATTCAATAACTTGTATCTTTATATATCCGCAATACATCCATTAATCTGGAGAAATATGTATCAAACAATGTACTTAAAATTACATCAAATTATTTATAGGGACAATGTGCCTCACTATACCATTATATGTGCAGTGAGGTCTTACACTGTCCCCCCTATACAAAACATATATCAGACTCCCACAATGCAAAGGAAGGGCTCCCAGAAATCCAACAACAAATTGGCATTAGTCTCAACATGATCAAGGTTTAGTTTGCAGAGATATTTTTCAGTAATAAGAGATGACCTATCCTGGCAAGAGATGACCTACCCTGGCACAATGTAAACATTAGTATGATAAAGTCTGCTTTTCTTTACTTTTTCATTGATTAAATGTGCAGGGTATCAATTTTAAAATATCTTTTATTACAGCTTTTCTTGGCCCGAGAGTCTACTTATCTCTAATATACCTTCTAATAATAAACGCAAGTTCTGCTTGTAGCTTCAAGGTTTCCCGATGTTTTAGCTGCCTCCATCTGCAGCATTAGTTACATTGTTCCATAGCAATCTAGGTTGAAAAAAAGACTCAGGTCCATTAAATTCACCATCTAATGGATATTTTTATGCTATTGATCCAAAAGAAGGCAAAAAAAACACAATTTGAAGCGATGGTCAAATGTTCCACAGAAAAGGGAAAAATTCTTCTTCACTTCATAATGGCAATCAGATTTCTCCTTTGATCAACAACCTGTCCCCATGCATATTAATTATATTCTTGAATATTCCAAATAAAAAACAAAACAAATCCAAGCCTTTTTAAAAAAATATCTAAGGAGACCTTTATGGGCAGAGAGAAGTAACCTCAAAAATACAAGGAAACTGATCGACTACAAGTATGCCAGAGTCAAAGTCACGTTACATAAATATGGAGGACTCGTGTAATAAAACAAAGTCAAATAATGTTTCTGTTTTCCTATAAGATCTTGTTCGAACTGATATCTTCATCTTTACTCTGGGATGTAACACATGCTGTTGTGGCATTAGCTATTTATCTATTCAGTGAGTCGATACACAGTCTTTGCCAAGGTGCGCACATCACAAGAAGAAGGGAGAGGGAGGGAGAGATCAAGCGGTGTTACACCCAGGATGCAGTCTGCCAGCCATATGTGGGACCAGAAGGCACATTCCCAAGCTGAGCTGCGTTGAGTTCGGGGTGGGGGGAGAGGTCACAGGCAGTCTGTGTAGAGCCAAACTTCTACCACACATCTCTCGTTGCACAGATTCTCTTGGCAAACACACAGAATTCTAGCACCAAAAATAACCTAGTATCGATAACGGCGGATCATTAACCTGTAGGATCACTGACACTTGTTTTGCCTTTAAGAAGAAAAAAAAAACAAGACTAGGAGACAAAGTAGAGAATTCAAATTAGAACTAAAGAGATACATCAGCTACAAGTTCTCCCTCCACAGTTGAGCATATTTATGGGTTTATCAAAGAGACTCACCTGTAATTTAAAACATACGCGTTTCTACACAGGCTGATTTCTGTTTGAGTTTATTGAAAACACCGGTGACAGATATTGGACGTTAGCGAAAATATGGTGCAATAAAAACATTATATACAGAAGAATTATCAAAGAGGAATCTAAAGGAAGACAGGGCCCACAGAGAATATCTAAGTTCCATTTTGTTTGGTCTGCAGTCTTCTGAACATCCAGCTGAAAATTAGATCTATGTCTCGGGCAGAACTGATCACACATCTTCTACGCACCATGGACTCTCACGGGGATTTAGGGCTCGAGCGTATGATGTTACATGATTCCTGTGCATTTATTCAGTGCTAAAACAAAAACTGTATCGTTAGAAGCTCCTATCTGTTTGACTGCCAGCGGATGACCCTTTGGGCTTAGGTTAGAACATGATTGCAGTTAAAGGTCCCCTTATTATTCTGTAAAAAAAATTACTTTGTATAGCAGGGGTAGGCAACCATTGGCATCCTAAGAATAAAAGTACAAAAAATGCCCATCAATCAATTTCCTTGGTCCCCCGTCCAGATGGCAGGAATCAGTCTGGAGGAATCAGGAACCAGGAACAAAATCATAAAGAAAAGAGGGGTAAATTCCTTTTTTACTTACCATGTATTTCTGCACCTGGGCGATCTATACAATTAAGAATTATTGGAGCTGTAGTACACAACTTCTTGAGTGCCTAATCCTGTTGTATAGTGTGTTTCTCAAATGACTCCTTTTTCAGTAACTAGTGAATGCTATGCTTGTTCAGGACTAGTCAGCCCATCCTTTTGACTTGCCGTGTGTCTCTTAAAAATATCTCCCCAGTTTTCCCCAGCAGATATTATCGAAGTTTCAATAAAGAAATGAATTTGGAATGTTACTGCACCTGCCAGTCCTGGCTTGTCTGTCTGTCATCTTTCTGCCTCGGATGACACTGTGTGTCACTCTGGCATCAAGTCCAATGCCAGGCACTGCTCCCCAGCATGCTCTTCTACACCTCAGGCTGTGCATCAATTTGCATATACATGTAATGTGTCACTCGTAGTATATCCCAGTGAATGCATATTCTGTCATTTTGACCAATTAAGCTTCAGTTGTATCTGATTAAACCTTCCTGTTTCCAATGTCCCTGTTGAAGTTCAAGTCGCACCAGATAGTTTATCGCTTCTTGTGTCTTTTAGCCTTGGACCTGGATATTTACATGTATCCAGACTTGTGGCATCCCTGACTTTGGCTTGTTCTTTCGTTACCATGATTCTCTTCAACCTTCGACTTTGGCAGAGCCGGATTAACCATAAGGTGACTCTAGGAGTCCGACTCTGCCCCAGGGGTTAGACAGAGGTCCTTGAAGCATGAATCTGCTTGGCCCCATTAACTATCCCTATGTGAAGAATAAGGGGAGCCCAAACTGTAACCAGCCCTGTATTGTTTTACTATCATGTTTCATTTCCTTCTTGCTATTCTAGGAGATTAGAAAAGCATTATGGTCAGACTCTGACACTGCGTATGTGCTATACCCATATACTTCCACGTTCACTGTATACAGGCACAATTAGGCATGCTGGGGGTGATTTGGGAATTCTGCTAGTCATATGATAATTGATCTGGTCATCTTTGGCATCAGTGAACCTAGCTGATTTTCCTAACAATTCACGATTTACACCAACACGATATACCTCTCTACGATACTTTTACGCTAATCACAGTTAGTTAATAACAACCTAAATCAGTCTTCAGCTGATGCCCCCTTTGTCTGTGTGTTTCCCAAATTCTACTATTTAAAATGATATCCATGTATAGATGCAGGAAAAGGAATTCTTCCAAAAATTATGATTCGAATTATATATAGCTACACTATAGCAATATGTATCTTGAAAAAAAACTTTCTAAAATATTTCCATGTAAAAAGTTATAAATAAAGTTCATTAAGGACATGCTGGGAAGGGCTTGCCGTGCAACCTTTTTACTGAGTCGAAGAAAAGCTATTGCGGAGATCTCTTGACATAGGATAGGGGACAGGTCCCTTTTTAAAATCTGGGAGAGTTGCCAGGACATCAAGCAAGTGTGGGAAACGGATTGGAAACAAGGGGAATGTCCCACAAAATCCTAGAGAGTGGGTAAGTATGCAACATATGCCCTGTCTCAATGTCAGCGTCTTGCTATGATATGTGAGACAGAAGCCTCTTTTAAATTCCTTGCTTTGTGATACATAGGACCAGCCGTCACAGATGGGGGATTAAGATGGTAGTTTCATCCTTTTTTGCTACCAGACATTATGTCAGACTTTGAAGGAGATCGGATGGGGGTGATTGGCGATTTATAATCCATCCACACAAATGCGGCGCAAACACATAAGAGGCGTATTCACTAAACTGTGAATTATGTAGAATTGACCAGATAATGACAGAATGTAAGCAGAATTATTTTTCTAAAAAATATGATTTGGAGAATCACACATTTGGTGGTTCTCAGTGATAGGAGTATAAAACAGAATGGCAGAAGGCATCGAGTAAAAACGTAATACATATTATACTACAGGGCCGTTGAATGCTTCAATCTGATTGGTTGACGAATGTTCTAAGGTGTGCATTAGTTTCAGGGAGACGCACGGCTAAAGTAGTTCCAGACAGGTCTTGACCGCATTACAGTTGCGTAAGAAATTAGTCCTACATACAAGAGCATTTTAATGACAAAAACTTGACAAACGTCTTGAAATACATCATCTGAACAATGTTTCGAGGTGAGGTAACTGTAGAATAAGCAGAATAACTGACTCCAGGCCGTTAAATTATTAGAAAACAATAATGCACATCCGAGGTGTAACGGCCACTCCGCTTCGCGTCGTGACCGCATTACCACCTCAGATGTGCATTATTTTTCTAATAATGTAACGGCCTGTCGTCAATTATTCCTTACTTAATTGACATGCACACATTAATTACTGTTTACAGTCAGCAAGGGCTCATGAATCTCCGGTCCTAAAATTTGCTTGGCAATGCTGGGTTTTCAAGATGCCACAACTTCAAAGACTGCTGCTCACTCCTCGTCCACAAGGAACAATATAAGAGTAATTTTAGAATAAGTTATACAGAGGTTATATGGAGTAATAGGAGGAGTTATAGAGAGAGGTTATATGGAGTAATAGGAGAAGTTATAGGGAGAGGTTATATGGAGTAATAGGAGGAGTTATAGAGAGAGGTTATATGGAGCAATAGGAGGAGTTATAGGGAGAGGTTATATGGAGTAATAGGAGGAGTTATAGGGAGAGGTTATATGGAGTAATAGGAGGAGTTATAGAGAAGTTATATGGAGTAATAGGAGGAGTTATAGAGAGAAGTTATACAGAGTAATAGGAGGAGTTATAGGGAGAGGTTATATGGAGTAATAGGAGAGTTATAGAGAGAGGTTATATGGAGTAATAGGAGGAGTTATAAAGAGAGGTTATATGGAGTAATAGGAGGAGTTATAGGAAGAGGTTATATGGAGTAATAGGAGGAGTTATAGAGAGAGGTTATATGGAGTAATAGGAGGAGTTATAGGGAAAGGTTATATGGAGTAATAGGAGGAGTTATAGAGAGGTTATATGGAGTAATAGGAGGAGTTATAGGGAGAGGTTATATGGAGTAATAGGAGGAGCTATAGAGAGGTTATATGGAGTAATAGGAGGAGTTATAGGGAGAGGTTATATGGAGTAATAGGAGGAGTTATAGGGAGAGGTTATATGGAGTAATAGAAGGAGTTATAGGGAGAGGTTATATGGAGTAATAGGAGGAGTTATAGAGAGAGGTTATATGGAGTAATAGGAGGAGTTATAGGGAGAGGTTATATGGAGTAA